TTCAATATATGTATATACGTATATACAGCTATTAGCAATATCTTATTGAAATAGAAAGCGTAGAAAAAACTAGCTCATTTTTTAAGTATGTGTTAAAGATTTAATCGGATTTGATTTACTGAAAATTTGTCTCGTTACGAATAAGAAGTGTTCGTGTTCGTAAAAATATATTTTATTGTTGTTTAAATCTTACTTAAACCATCAAGATTATTGACTCTGAAGACTGAAATAAAGGAATACATTAAAGTTAAAGTGGCTTATTGGAAGCTTAATTATGTATAAAAGATCTTAGGTTAAATAGTAACTAATTGTTTAGTTAGAAGTTAAGTAATGAAGTTAAATTAACTAAGTTAATAACTTAGTTAATCATATCAAATAAATTAATTTTTAACTTTTGTTTAAAATTAAATTTATTTTACAATTTCTTGTTCCATATTATGACTTTTTATATTATAATTGTTTCATTATTTAAAATAATTTAATTTTATAAAATTACAATAGTATAATATTTAATACAAAATAATGCTTTTCAAAAGTAATTTTTAATTCAAGTTAATTTATTTAAGATAAACGAGTTGATTTTATAGGACATTAATTTTAATTTAATTAAAATAAAAATTTAACTTAGATAACTCTGATTTAATTAGATATACTTCGCTATCACTAAAAAATATTTTTTAACAGATATTTTTTAATAAATCACTCGTTTTTCTTAATTTTATTAGATTAATCTTTCTCGTGTTCTGTTAGAATAGCAAAGATAATTAACATTTATTTCTGAGGTGTGACTGCAAGAGAACAAGCGATCCTTCGATCCTTTGTGATCGTTACTCTGGTTTGTGTCTAATGATTCGAAGAAGTGCGAGATTCGAAATACCATTAGATAGCAAAGTTATTTAAGCACGCCCTTCTTGCTTACTCGTCAATAATTAAAAATCACCATTACCGTCTTGGTGCATTAAAAAAAGTTATTAATCTGAAAATCTGTAGCTTAGCGATTTACGATACAAGCTCGCGGAAGTCTGCAAGCAAATTCTTCGCAATCTTTGCTTCTCTAAGAAGCAATTATCGTATGATATTCATATGCTTAATATATCTTAGCTCGCATTACGCACCTGTACACGCCCACTAAGTTATAATGTATTCAAAGCATAATATAATGTATTAAAAAGCAAGAGAAAAAAATCTCATTTCCAGCTTTCGCTATTTTTAGCGATGAATCGTCATGCGTGCACGATTTCACAATGCTTTGTTAAGCGCGCTTGAGATAAAACTGAATTGATATAATTTATTATTACTTAATTGATATAATTTACATATAATTAAAGTCATTATTCGATAAATGGCTGTTATGCGAACTGTCAATGTATGATCCTTGAGAACTTTTGAGGAAGTTTGTTGAAATGAAATACTGAAGAAATGAAAAGCTTAGATTTGTCAAGAAATACAAGAAATGTGTTCGGCGACAGTTATAGACGATCATATAAGAACTTTGGAATAATTCAATTTTTATTTATCCACTTATTTAAACCACGACGTTTTGTAGCATTTCATTTTTAAATCTTCAGCGACGATTAATCAGATTTTCTCTTCCTGCTCGACGACTCGCGAGTCATCATGTCTTCATTTCCTTTGGATTTGATACGATTCCGATAGTCGTAGTGATGCTGTCGCAATACTTTAAGTCGTTTTTCGTCTTTATCGCGTCCTCGCGTAACAGCTCATTAGATTCACGTGTTTTACGCAATTATAGCAATTCGCAAGGACGTCGACAACACAACTCATCGTGCAATGTTCTTGTGCCGGTCATTCGAGCTGAGCGTTAGAAGTTAATATCATCCGTGTCAATTTAATCGTTTCGGGCAGACAATTCCAATGGCGCCGAATTCATTTAAATTTTCATTGCATAATACGGATCAATTTCAATATCGTGCCACTATCGTCGTTGACTAATGCCGATTCAGTCGCTCTATTTGACCTATCAGGACGGATTTCACTATAGAAAGTGATACCATTAAAACGGACATCAATCAGCATTTAGGCAATTATGAAATATCTTTAGCTTGCAACGAGAGAATTACTGAAAATCTATTAGTAAGATAGAAAGGAAAGGAACATCGCAAATTCGAACTTTTTGATTTAAATGAATTTTTGTGAAGCTAAAAGATTCCCAATTTTTCGTGTATAATATAAATTAAAAAGAAAATCTTTTTTAGTTTTCTTTTATGTTAAATTCTTTTATGTTAAATAGTTTTTAAAAATTTGTTTTATTTGTTGTATTTAAAATTTGTTTATGTTCCCTTGTATTATTAATTCTAATTTTTCTCTATCTCTATCTCTGATTTAAGAGTTATATATCAGAATTTACAAGAGAATCTTTAAGATACTAATCTATATAGATACTAGAAGTAATATTTTAACGAGATTACAACTTAAAAAATATAAATAGGATAAGTATAGTAATTAAGTATAGTAATTAAGAGAGAATATATTTGTTTGTCTGAGTAAGTCTACCATTAGAGACGTCGGCTATCAACGTCATTTGGCGTTTCTAACACGCAACGATGAAACAAATCGCGCGAAGAAAAATGCGACATGCGCGACATGCGCATGCGATGACATTTAGGAAAAAGGAAAACGAGCCCCGTGGAATCCCGTGACGTGGCATACCGCGCGAGTATCCTCCATCGTTTCTCGAATTTTTCCTCCGTGCGTAAAACGCAACAAAAAGAGTTCGCGCGTTTTCCTCCGTCCCGTGAGGCGGCTCGGACATTTCTTCTCCGACGCTGCGAAGCCGTATCTTCCACCGTCGTTCGCGTTCGTCAACCGGTTCCGAGCCGTCCTTACCGTCTTTCTCGGCGTCTCCATCTCGATGGTCCCCGATATTTTGCCTGAGCCGACGTTCTATTCCGGTCTTGGGTTTTCCCTGCGCATGTGCCACCGATCAAGGCCATCATCTTCACGTCTGGGCGAACTCGCGACGCACCGTCGCCGGAAGTTGAAGCATCGCTGTCTCCGTCGTCGTTCTTTATCGATACATCGCGTTTTATACAACTCGTTCACCTTCTGACAGACGTTTTGATGCAATGGATGATCTGACTCTCAGATGAAATAATTTAGACGAAACGTGATTTTTTAAAGCAGAAAATCCCTTCTCTCGTCGTCGTAAACATTCCATTTGCGTAATCAGATATTCGGCGAAAAAAATGAAGATGAATTTTTTGTGTTGAAGAAATCAGATTTTTTTCATAATAAAAATCATACTTTGGGATTTGTAAAATACAGGTGAGGAAGAGAATTCGTCTATAGATGTGAAATGACGTATCTCGTCGTGTTATCGAGAGTTTATCACTAACATTACGATCTGTTGTTCATGGAATTTTGTGTTTTTCTCGCGTTGTCACTCTCTAAAATACGTTCGTAAACAGATTCGTATGAATATAACATTCGGCTAACTTGATACGTAGTTGCATGATGCAAGTTCTCTCAGTTTGAATGCCATTTGCAAATTATAATACTATAAATTTCTGTCTACACACGATGATGTAATCATGCCGAATGAAGATTTATTAGTGGAACTTCTTTTATGAATGACAAATTTCCTCATGATTCACTTAAACTTCAATGTTTTTCCTTCCTTTTTTGTAAGAAGAAAATAATAGTAGTATAATAATTGATACTTGCTTCATTGATATCGTGGTTAATTATTGACAAAATGATGATACTTACTTTAATAGATAATCATAAAAAAGATACACGAGGTAAAATACACGATAAAAAAGATACACGATAAAAATTCTTGATCTAATTAAATTATTGACGTCTAATTGAACATCACGATTAAAGTGCTATAAATTATTAAGATTAAATCATTTAATTTCATTCGCTGTTAATTTTTTATATGATAATTTGGACTTTAGACATTAAATTACTCTTCGATTAAAGTATTATGCTATTCTGTTAATATCGATCAAAAATAGATGAAAAGAGTATACTACAATATTCTACGTTGTGATTTTCCAACCTGTATAATCTTTTGGTATTTGCCGTACGAGATATCAAAATCTTATCAAAACACTTGATTAAATAAAACGTTTTTGCATCTTTCCTAATTTTAAGATTATAGTAATTACATCCTCATTAGGTTATCAATATAGCATTACTAATGAGATCAGAATACGAGACAAACTTAACTCTTAAAAGCAAAAAATCTAATCTCATTATCATTTTTAATAATTTAATGAAATTTACATTATCAATAAGATTGATTAATGATCTATCGGAATTTTAAACGTACTCAATAAAACAATAATTACGATATATTTAATTATAATAAAATTAAAATTACGACCTACGATTTAATATTATAAGAATTATAATAGAAAAGAAAAATGGACTTGTTGCAAAATGTTATTGATATCAGATAAAAATTTCAAAAGGGCAACATTTTATCCGATTGTCTGCAAGATTAATGTGATTTCCAAGTGCATTGGCGGGGAATCAAGAATACTCAAAAATTTTGTTTAAAAATACATCGCGCAAAGATAAATAAACAAATATCTTAATTTTCTCGCGACATGGGATTTGTTGGTGTCACGTGGATCTTTCCAAGTACCCGGAAAATTTCGTTCCTCCGAACGGAACGGCTACGCGGAATGACGCATTCGCATCCGCTCTTTATATCGGTGCACTCACCTGTGCGCGAGGCTCGCGAGGCGCGAAAGGCCGCGGCTCGCCGCGGCTGGAGGAAAGCGATGACGTTCGCGGAACGAGCGTGCGATCAGGAAAGACCGGCGGTCGTGCGTGCGGGAACGCCGTGCGAAACCGCGAAATCCCCCCGTTCTTGTGCGTGCGTTTCCCAGTGACGTCACAGAGATCGCGATCCGAACGTCGCCAGGAGATTGCGTTTGCCCGATCCGCTGACGTCCGCCGGTCGCCCGCCGGTCCCATCAAGGTGGGGAAGAGCGCGGTTTTCTGTAGTCGGTGGAAGACTATAAAGCCCCACCAATCGGTTGCGCCGCCGACAGTCCGCACACTTCTCGAAACGACGATGTAGTTTGTAAAACCTCCGAAAAATCGATCGGCGCCGAACTATCGGGAAATCAAGACGAGAGTGCGACCCCTTCGACGCGGACGCGATTGTCGGGTTATTTATTCTTTGCACTTTGATGCATATTCCTTTCTTCATTTCTTCGCTTCCTTCGCGGTCGTCTGTAAAGTGAACCTGTTTCATGGATTATTAATTATCCTCTGCGCGCGGATACATCGACTTCTCGTGATTTTTTTATATTACTCTCCGCAAGAAAGATCAACAGGTAAAGAATTGTCTTTTTATGGAATAACTTTAAGACAAACGCTGAAAAATTTTTTTCTACAAGAAGAGCTTTCGTCAGCTCTAATTGCTTCTGATATCAATTATCTGATATCAAATTAAACTGAAGCTATGGCGCTGAAATAATAACAGAAAGTTTTATAAAACTTAATATATCTTTGGTGTAAATAATAGATATAATGCTTCTTCTATTTTCTGTGTAACTTGTGAAGGTTTCATATTTAGTCACATTACTTAACAATTTAATTCATCGATAATCGTTAACGCGCTTACCTGAAATTTCTCATTGCAGTATAAGAAAATATGACGTTACGAAATTTACGGTTGATAAATCACTCGAAACGAAACAAGTATTGACTCAAGGGACAAAGCAAATAAAATGAATATTAATGGAATTAACGAGGCAATCGTAATTTATTAGAAAAATTGATAAAATCAGCGGAAGAACGACAATGGATTATTAACATGTTAATAAGATTAATAAGCTTTATTTTGCAATTTCGCTGATATTGTTTTCTTCTTATCTTTTTTTGTTTGATTATTCCAATTTATATCCAATTATGGGAATTATTTCCAATAAAAATTTCCTCTAACGTATTGCATATTATGAATATATCTGATTATTAGCTGATGACTTAGTACGCTTCTCTTTTTTTCTCTCGTTACGTATCGTCGAGGACGATATAAGATTGCTCAATGTAATTACTCTTGCACTGAATTAATGCGGCGTTCATGCAATATCATTTTGAGTCTATCTTCTAAGTTTTAACGTTCGTAGCTCCTATGATTTCTCATTAACACGAGTGACGTGTACATAACGCATGCTTAAAATTATTTATATTTATAAATTTTTATAAATTTTTATAATTTTTATTAAAGAGAGAAAGAGGGCACATATTTTTCCGAAATTCGTTTGAAAAAGAAAGTTGTGAGATTACGATAAACATTTTAGTCACGCTCTTTTCCTGACTTAAAGAAAATAGAGAATTAAAAGAAAATTAAAAGAGTAAAACGTCGATCAATCCCCCATGATTTTGAATTAAAGTTTCATAAACAAGAAATTATTTAAATTCGTTGATATTTAAATTCGCTTTAGTATTACATTACTTAATGTTTTATTTATATCAACGTAATATTTCACGTGATTTCTATTTCATTACCATATCCGATATGTTTGTTAAATTTTCTATTTTGATCTGACAATCAGAAAACAATTCTTTTCAAAACAATTCATTATTTCGATATTCAATTTTATTTTTTATAATTTAATATAAAAGTATTATAATTAATGATAAAAATCAGTTGCGTGATCCATGTCATAATAACAGCCCTTTGTTTATTCCTACTATCTCTCTTCTTACGCTCGTCACCTAAAAACGTAGAGTTGCTCGACTCATTGTAACACCCGCGTTTCGCCTCGTTATTGTTATTATGTATTTCGTCTTTGTTCCCGCATGTCATTATCGTTTCCCACACACATTCTAACGAATAGGACCACGCGTTCACGCGTGAATATCGGTCAATACGTGCAATACTTTCTGCTGTTAGTTGTAATAAGTGTTCCTTAAGAAAATCACGAAGATTTTTCTTCCTTTCCAGATACCGCGACGATGACAGTCATGGTCGAATCCACGAAAATCGAGGAAGGCAATGGTCCTCCGAAGATCGAGACCTTCGACGATATCCTACCGTACGTTGGTGAAGCGAGCAGATACCAATGGTTCCTGTTCATTCTGCTCCTACCGTTTACCTTTGTTTATGCTTTCTTGTACTTCGCACAATTCTTCATCACTCTCGTGCCCGCCGAACATTGGTGTTCTATACCGGAGTTGGACCATTACAACCTCACGGATCACGAAAAGTAAGTTTGACAAGAAAAAAATTCTTTAGAGATATGACATTTTATTTATTATTTAGCAAGATATAATAAATAAATAAAGTAAAATAATTTAAATATATGTATATTTGTTTGTGCAATTATTTATATATTTGTTTAAAAAATTGGAGAAACGGAGTATTCGAAGTTAATACGAAATAACTTAGGCGAGTGTATAAGATATCTTTGTACGGAGAAGACGGAGATTTCTAATATTTGCGAGCTTAAGATGATATTAAACAGACAAGCGAACTCCGACGAGAGTGTTCACATATATTAGCACATCTAAATAAATATATAAAATAAATATATATAAAATAAATCAAATACATTTACAGATACATTTATGTATACATATATATACTCATACATGTTTGCACACATATGAACAAATTTTCGTGTTGACTTTTTGCATTATGTTATCTAGCCTAATTCTTAGAACTCAATGTTTCTTCATGTTTCTTCATATCTTTAACAACATTAATTTTGTAGATTGTAACATTTTTATATAAAGCAAATATTGACTTAATAGTTCTGGACACCATATTATAAAGTAGCAAATAGTAAAAAAGATCTAAATTATAAAAATTTTTTTCGTTCTTGATATGAAATTCATATGCTAAACACTTTAATTGTGAAGAAGAATTTCCAAATCTATAAAGTTAATACAAAATTAAATCAGTACAAAAATTATCGTATTCTGTCAGCAATACAGACGAGTTTAGTATACCCTTTGCAATGTTTAAAACGTATGAGCCTTGTAATGACAAGAAATAGAGAATAAAATGAAAGGTGGTGAAATTCCCTTTTCATCTTTATTTCATAACAGTTCAAGTCCGGTCGGTTCGAGCTGACCAAGACCTTGGCTTGGCTTATTTATAGATTCACCCTTGCACGTTGGATTTTTTGCATATATGTATATAGTGTGTCCCAAATTCTCTGCATTGATTATCTTTACAAGAATGACGATATCAATAGTTCCTTTTCATTAGAATTAATGATTGAGAAATTTTTCATGAATTAGTTTTTCCCCGAAAAATTATTTTATCTAAAGATATTTAAAAATTAGTAAATTTGATATTCTAATATGGTGATTGTATGATGAATTGATGATACAC